CAGCTTTCCTGGTTGCTGAGATGAAAGTGGGTGACAAAATGCACTCGCTTTCCACACACACAGACAATACGGTTTTTATGCCTTTTTGTTGTGCAGCGCTACAGCGCTGCACAGTAGAAATGCATAGAAAGAGGGTGACGAAACCCGCCACCAGCTTGTTTGCAAGCTATCATCGAAAGAAGGAGCTATCAACAGCTCAAACAGTCACTAATTACTGCTGGCATTTGTTACGATTTAGGTTACTTCTCAAGTGCCTTGTCTCTTACTGATAATGAGCACGGAGGGGGTTTTAACTTTTGTAATATAGTTTTGGAAAGGTAGGGTTTGTGACAAAATTGAAACCGTGAATAAGTTTACGATCCCGAAAATTTATGGATAGGCATTAGCCTAGGTAGAATCATGAAATTTTGTAGACAGACAATAAGAATATGTTTTGGGAACATACGATTATCACGTGTGCTTGAACGTTAGGCAATAAAAATCATCTGCCTGTGCTTCCACTCTCAGTTCGGATCAACTTTCCTTGATAATGTTTGTTTCATAAGTAGACTGCTTTTTCTGGAGAAAACAAAATTTGATAAAATGTTTTTGAGATCAAGCAGCTTCACGATTATTAGTGAATCCAGGTGAGCTTTGTGTTTTGTACTTTACAGTTATTTTCCGAGAATTCAGTTGGCACATTTTATTCTGCTGGAAACAAAACATATATAAAAGTGATTTACAGCAGAACCGAAATTTTCATTGTTTTGAAGCTCTACGAAAAGTGAAATTCCAATATTCGGCGGGATAAAGCGGAGCAGCTGTGCAAAGGAATCCCAACCTGTCAAGAACACTGGAAATTTCGGCACTCTAAAGCTTCTGCCCTTACTGCCCCACCAATGGACAGATGCATGGAATTGTCGACATGGTGACTTTTCTCGCAGCCTATACTTAAACTATTCTCATTTCAGGATATAACTGAGCCAGAACGATAATCCGTAATTTGCGGTATGATATTGCGCGTGGTATCCTATATGCTACTTGCCATTCTTATTGCACCAAAAGCTTCAAATTCAACAGCAGCAGTAACAACAACAGCGACGACAACAATGACAACAACATCAGCAAGACCCTCAACAACAACGACCAACAGCAAAAAATACTACAATAACTTGATCAACGAACTACTTGCCAATCACAACAGCTCGGGCATTTACTTATCGCTTGATAACAAAACTGGAATTGCATTTTACAATAATTTAATCAACGAACTGCTCAGCAACAGCAGCTCAGACATCGATCTGCTGCTTAGCAGTGATGATCCCAGTGTGGTCGTTTTGCTTGAGACTAGTCACTCTCACGTCGAATTACAGCTGGAAGTAAGCGATCCTCACAACGAAATATTGTTGGACATTGACGGTCATAACAGTTTGATGCTCAAGGCTGGTAATCCAAACACCAATTTATTGCTGGGAAGCGGTGCTCAAAACATTGATTTATGGTTCGGGAGAAACTGCAACGGCAAGAACAACAACAATAACAACAGCATGGAATACTACAACAACTTGATTAATGAGCTGATTAATGGCAATGGTACTGATAACAGCTTGATCAACTTGCTAATAAGTAAATAAGGCGTGCCTTATACCACCGACTTAATGAGCCAGTTAAATAATGGTAACGGTCCTCAATACTACAACAACTTGATTAATGCTTTACTTAGTGAGAACGACAAGAATAACAACATGACCAGTTTATCGATGGAAAGCAGAAACGGCTCAAACAACAGAAGCGGCTTTGGCTACAGTAATTTAATCAGTAATTGATTAGTGAAAATAGAAGCGGCCTCGAGTAGTATAAAAATTTAATAGATGAATTGCGTAGCAACTACTATACGTTATTGTTATGCAATTTTTTCCTCTTGTTGTTACAATAACAGTAATAATAATTTATTATTATCGTTACTTTTATAATTGTTTTATAGTTCTCTTTACAATTTACAGCTTACTTACTTCGGCTTTTTATCTTTTAATCATAATATCATAATATGACTAGGTCAGTTACAGTTCACACTAACCACTTAACGTCTCCTCACAAAATGACCTGTATAATAAAAAGTTTTTTGCTGATTTTCAGGAACATTGAAAGATGGTGGTAAAAGGGATTCTACAAGTGGGGGATGGGACAGCGCGCTCGTTTTAAAATTTATTTTTTGAATTCGAACCATGTCAGTGCTGCTAACAGTGCATGAAAAATACGAAGAATTCTGCCAGTTTGCTTCTGCCGGCTCAGATATGCAACAATCAAGATGAAGGCGTGAAAATAAATTGTAATTAGTGAAATTTTGACATGGAATCCCTCTTGATAAATTTCTGACTGTATTTTGATAAGGAAAGTCGTGTTGGAGAGGTTTTGCAACGATATGCTGCATTAAATATCAACAGTAAGTGATCATCACACCGATTGTCCTGGAAACTTCAATATTTTTAAAGTGTGTATGTTGGATCACTTCAAATTTTTTAAAAGAGGAAACAAATCCTTTTGGAGCAAATATATAACGTCTTAACATTTTTTGATAAATTCACGAATAAGATAACGGAGATAAGCAAAAGCTAAGGCACTCAGCCATTTTTCTAACGAAACATCCCTTCCACATTTTTTGCTACGCTAACGAGATCCACCACTCAAAATATGCACAAAATTTTATAAAACCGCAACTGCATGATGCACTTTTTTTATTCATGTGAGTCCATATGAATTATCCATTTTCTATCCATCTGAATGTATGTCAAGGGGACGGGCGACCTTGTTATCCTTGCAATGAAGTATCTCTGAAATGGGGATTAAAAAAGGCTGAAGAGGTACCAACAGTAGTGAAGCTATAAAGGCTGTTGTAAAAGGGGATTCTGGCGAAGAATGGAAGAAAGAGAATGGGAAGAATGATAAAAAGAGGGCAACGAAACTCGCCATCAGTTTGCCTGTAAGCAATCCTCGGAAGAGGGAATCATCAACAGCCTCGCCAGCCGTTAATTGCTGCTGACATTTGTTACCAATAAATCGGGTTACATCACTAGTGCTGCGTCTTCTACTGTATGAGCACGGAGGCAGTTTTCGACTTTTTGTAATGTAGTTTTGGAAAGTTGGGGTTTATGACAAAACTGAAACCGTGAATAAGTTTAGGGCCTTGGAATTTTATGGATAGGCATTAGCTTGGGTAGAATGATGGAATTTTGAAGGCAGACAATGGGGGTATATTTTGAGGGACATACGATTATCACATGTGCTTGAAAATTAGGCAGTAAAAATCATCTGCCTGTGTTTCAACCTTTGTTCGGATTAACTTTTTTTGATAATGCTTGTTTCATACTTAGACTGCGTTTTTTGGAGAAAATAAAACTTGATAGGTTCGTGTTTTTAAGGCCT